GACGGGGGGAGTGGAGCTACTTCAAAGAGGACTTTGAGGCCCAAGTAGAGAGAAACATCCCAGTGTAGAATCACTTGTTTCTTCTTTGGGGATAAGGTTTCGGGAGGGGTGGAAGGAGTTTGTGAGGCTGTAAACTTGGCATTTGAATAAGTACATTATTACCAAATGATAAGCGGAACAAAACGGTCTTAATAGCTCCTTCAATGGCTGCCTAAGTTTGATAGTGTTTTGTTATTTCTTGAATGAAGAATACCTTAATGAGTGAGAAGTATCAAGCCATCGGTTGTTAGCTTTACGGGGTATACTGGTGGTGTAGTGGCTTACTCATTGGCCTATTGAGCTGTGAGGTCAGCAGTTCAAAACCACCAGCCGCTTCTCTGGAAAAAGATGAGGCCTTCCACAGTCTCAGAATCTCTCAGGGATGGTTCTTCTCAGTCTTCGTAGCGTCCCTATGAGCTGGAATAGACTTGATGGCTGTGAGGTCTTTGGGGTACAGGGTATACTTGGAATCGATGCTGAGTCCTGATTGGTGGTTAGGACATTTGCTGTGTGTACATGCGTGTATTGAAGGGTTCAGAAGACTCAAGAATAATATGCTCTGAGCACTTGACATGTATGTGGTTTCCGGTATGGCCACTTGGTGGTGGTTTTTGGAATGTAAGAGTTTGTGCCTCTGGGGGAGGTGTTAGGGCAGCTGTGTGGGTAATCCCTATTGACTTAGGGTCCAGGTTCATGCTGATCAGAAATCATCGTTGAGAAAAGTGTCAGGCGGGCTCCATAACTCGGAGCTGCTGCTGAAAGGAGAGAGTGGCAGGAGCCAGACCCTGGCAGGCTTTCTCTCTGCCGCCAGAACCACTGGAGACAAGGTGATGTGGAAGGTGCGTCATTGGATTCGACCTCTTCACCTACGAAGTCGCTTCGCCCTTTTTCATGACTCAGGTGTAAATATTCCTCAGAGAGGTCACCTGGGGAAGCTAGACGATATATTATCTGGCCCACTGGTGTTTTTCCCCGTTTTTTTACTTCAAAATAAGATATGTGTAGTGTGCATAGGAATTTGTTCATAGTTTTTTTTAAAAAAAACTATAGACCTGCCCTCCAACAGGTCTGAGGGACAGTGAACTGGCCCCCTGTTTAAAAAGTTTGAGGACCCCTGATGTATTCCTTCATGTAAATAAGCCTAAATGTTTTCAATAGCAGCTGCTTCGAATCTTTTCTCGGAAGTAGACAGGGCATAGCTTGGCATTGGAAATTTTCACATGCGACTACTCCTGTACATTAAGAAAAGACAGCTGCTGGCTCCAAAGCAATGCTAGAAAAATGTCTAAACTTATATGCAGTGGCAGCCCTTTCAGAATAATTGCATAGCGTCCTCCCGGGACCTTTTGAAGGAACAGCGGTAAAGTCTGGGCTAACTCTGAGAATGTTCATTTAGGAGGAAAGCATCATATTGGTCTTTTGTCCTCTTTCTAAGGAACTTTGACAGGGTCAGTTGCTGGGGTGTTTTTCCTTGCATTAGATGTTTTCAAGATATGTTTTGGGGACCCCATATGGAAAACTCTAGGTTAATTATACAAATGGAACGCCTAGGCACAAAGAAAATTCTCTAGAAGAGTGTCAGTGACCTTTGCCCAGAACCCCTGTGTCTTACTGCTGCTTCCTTCCCCATCCTGCTCATTTTACATTGAATTGCAGGACCTTAACATTGGGTGCAGTGTTCTGGAGGAAACTTGAGAACCAGGCCCCTTGATGCTCTAGTTGATGATGGAACGTCTTGTCTGGTTGGATTTTTGTTGCAGATTCTGTGCCGGGTACAGCCTGGACCACCTCATTTCCATTGGTGAAAACTTCAGGCTTGCTTTGCTCTCTTTTTCAAAGCTCTATGGCTTTCTATCCCGATTTTGTTCTTGCTTAACAGGTAAGAGTTGAGTGAGAAGCCACTAAAGCTATCATCATTTGTGGTTTTGTTTTGACAGGCTAAACTAAACTCAGTGAAAGGTCATTTCTTTTTAAAAAGAGCGGGGTCTTTATCCAGAGGTATGTTGCCCTCCTGACATAGCTGACGCTGAGACCAATATCTGCACTAGTGCCTCGGTTGCTCAGAGGAAATGAAGTTCTTCCCGGAGTTCCAGTTGTGCGTACTGTGTGGGAATCCAGGGAAAATGTGCTCTTTTGGGGAACTTAAGGGATAAATGACACATAAGGAAAGGAGGAGGCAGGGCACATTTTTAAGGATGGAGACTTGTCTTTTTGGTCAGCAGTTTCTAAACTGTCCTTTCCAATTAGGTGGGACAAACATGAGACTGTTCACTCCTGGGCAAATTTCAGTCTTGGAAGACCCATTGGACAGTTTTTAGGGTTGCTATGAGTTGAAATCAACTAAATGGCAATGGGTTTTGTTGTTTTGAGGGGGTTTTTGGTGTGTGGGGGGGTTGGGTGTATTTCTCCCCCCCACCCTCCCAATATGTGAGTGGCTGGAGGAGACTCCACTGAGGAATTTGAGGCCGTTTGCTTCTCATCAGTAGATTTGCAACTGTTTGATTGAACAGTATACGCGGTTTTAGGGATTTGAAAATTGGTGAGCAAGATTTTACAGTGAAATTCTGAGGCTAAAATCTTGAAAGTTACCAACAGGGAGCTCCTGTTTTTTTGACAAATCATTTGGAGGGGAGAGAGAAGCAAACAAATGAGGAAATAGATGGGAAGGGTTTAGATAATAGGGCTGAGAGCCACCTTCAATGCCTAGAGTTTCATCTCAAAAAATCTGTTCCTCCTTTCCTTTATAATACCTCTAACACATACACTGAAATACACTGGTACCTTTCAGCATTTTGAAAGCACCTGTGTGTGGATTTCAGAGCTTGGAGTCCTTGAGAGCCTACCAATTCAGCTTGCTATTTCCTAAGTCAAAGTTAAGAGCCAGGCCATTTTTAAAAAGCAAATGCATGGTGTTTTGAACCATACATCAGTGACTTGGAAACATCCCTGTAAGGCTGTCTGTTTAAGACTGATTTTATAAACAGCTACTACCCATTTTTCTGAAGCATTAATTCTCGAGCTTGAGAATTCGTTTTGGCAGCATGTGTAACATATTTGTTGGTAGAGGTTTGTGCTGACCGAAGGTGGTGTTGAAAGATGGGATTGCACATCTTTATGAGTGACGGTAGAGAGCTGGAGATAGAGTGTGTTATGTTAGGTGTTGTTTTCAAGGTGCCGATAGGGTGTTTGCTCCTCTGTACTTTGAGTGGTAGGGCTCTGTACCCTCTGTTACTAAATTAGGCATGTGCATCCAGGCATCATCTTCCCAAAGCGAGGCTAAGATGGGAAATTCTAGCTTTTTACAGATGTCTTCAGAATTGTATAGAAGTAGCTGAAACAATATTTAAAGTATTAATACTAAAAATAGAAAAATTTAAAGTTGTACACAAATTAGTGATTGCTGTTTCTAATACTGTGATTGTGGGGCCGAGATTGTGAGGGTAGTGAATCTTACGTAGTAGTTGTGTGGTGCCATCGAGTCGATTCTGACTCATAGCTGACCCTGTGTACAACAGAAGGAAATCCTGCACCACCCGCACAATTGTTGGAGCCGTTGTTGCAGCCACTGCGGCAGCCCATCTCATTGAGAGCCTTCCATTTTTTGTTTTTTGTTTTCCGTTGCCCTTGTCCTTTACCAAGCATGATGTCATGATGTCCCTTTTCAGAGATTGGCCTTTCCTGGCAATATGTCCAAAGTACATGCGGCAAGTCTCCCCATCCTTGCCTCTTAGGAGCATTCTGGCTGTACTTTCAAGACAGGTTTGGGGGTTCTTTTGGCAGTCTGTGGTATTTTCCATATTCTTTGCCAGCACTGTAATTCAAATGTATCGAATTCTTCAGCCTTCCTTATTCAATATGTAACTTTTACATGTAGGTGCGACAATTGAAAATACCATGGTTTGGGTCGGGCTACATCTCAGTCCTTAAGACCACTGTTGTCAGTTTGTCATATTGTGGTGGTTTCTGTGATGCTGGGAGCTATGTCCCTGGTATTTCAGATAGCAGCAGGGTCACCTAAAGTGAATAGGTTTCAGCAGAGTTTCCAGGCTAAGAACAGACTAGAAGGAATAAATTGTCCACTTCTGAGAAAACCGTACAGAACGTGAGGGGCTTATAAGCCTGATAGCCCCATCTTTCTTTACATATGCCAAGACACTGGAGGAGGAGACCGCTTTCTCGGCATCACACGGTATAGGGTGAACCATTTTAAAGAGCTGCTCCGTAGAGTCTTGATGGGTGTGAGAAACAGTTGAGACATGTCCTGGGCATGTTGGATTTTTGATGTAATGGACGTGGCCTCTGCTGAAAGGATGGATGCCCGGTCATTTAAAAAGTCGACTGAAATTGATTTGTTGGTAATGATTTGCGGCTAACCTTGTGAAGGGGAATGTTTGCCTGTTGTGTGCGGCTGGTTGAAGGGTGAAATGGGTGCCTATCTAGAGCTCTCTAGGGAC